GTGCCCACCTTAATGCCCATCACCCAGTTTAACCCTAACCCCATCCCCCCATCCCCTCCAGTGACCCTCAGTTCTCTGTAGTTAAGAGTCCTTATGGTTTTCCTCCCTGTTTTCATCTTTATTTTTCCCTCCCTTCCTCTATGTTCATCTGCTTTGTTCCTTAAATTCCACATATGAGTGACATCATATGGTATTTGTCTTTCTCTGAGTTATCTTGCTTAGCATCATACACTCTAGCTCCATCCACATCACTGCAAATGACAAGATTTCATTCTTTTTGGTGGCTGAGTTTCTGGTTTGCAGTCTTAAGTCTGTTTTCTCCAACATCTCCAGTGCTCTCCTGCCTCCTTAATCACTTGCTTTAACTGCCCTGCACAGCTTTTTTCCTGGGGTGGAGAAAACATTCAGTCTCCTGCTTTCGTTCATCCACTAGACTCCTCATCCCTTCACCACCAACCATCTGAGAAGTGCTTGTCCCCAACCACTACTTCATTTCCTCCCCATACTTCCTTACTCTCTGAGACAGTTTGCTGCCCCACAATTCCACTGAACTTTTCTTTCTCAGAGGTTTCCAGGAACCTGCTTCTTGCCAATATTAACTTCACTTTTCCAGCCCTTGTGGACTTCCTGTTGTGTGCCCCCCACCCACCCACAGAGGGGCTCCCTCTCCAGAGCCCTCAGTTTGGTTCATGGAAGCTCCAGGCTTAACTTCATCAACTCACGTTTCCATTTTCCTTTAAAGTAGCTCATATCCTAGCCTTTCTGTTCCCATGGACACCCTACTCCTGGCTCTTGTTCCTTCACACACAGATCTACCCACTGCCCCCCCCGGGCAGCCTGCGCCTGGTCTCCTGGCTCTAATCCGCCTGATATGCCACCACCATCCCATGTTGGCCAAAGCACTGGTTTCCCATGTCGTTCTTTTGTCACACACTTTTGCCACCTATAGGATTAGGTCCAAATGCTTCAGGTTGGCTTTCCACAACCTTCGTAATATTTACCCACACTGCTTAGCCATCTGCACTCCCACTGTTGCTGTCAGCTTGGTCTCTCTATGGCTCTCCAGATCTGTTACGTCTCCCCTGCATGCCTTTTTTACACGGCAATTCCATTTTCTGGAAACCCCTCTCGTCTCAGATCCTTCCGTGCATTTCCTAAAGCATTGCCTTCTTTGGGAGGGTGTTCTAGAATCCTCACTCACAGCTCATGAGCCCTTGCTCTTCTCACCCTCTCCTGCCCACAAATACGACTCCCTGGGACCTTCCCAGTGCCCAACATCACTACCTGTTCTGTATTTCTCCTGAACGAAACTCTTAATTCCCCATTGGCAAGGACTGTGCTGTATGTCCTCTGTGATTGACAACTTTGAGAAGCCCAGCATATTGCAGCACAGGCGGTAGGCCTCTACCGAATGCTTTCCGATGAAATGTAGCGGTTCTCTGTAAAGCGTGAGAGTGCTCATTTGTGTTTTCTTCTCTCCCTCCAGTCAAGTATCATCATGTGGGCAAACTGCTGAAGGAGGGGGAGGAGCCCACTGTGTACTCTGATGAGGAAGAAGCAAAAGATGAGAATGCTCGGAAAAATGATTAAAGCACCCAGTGGAAGCATATCTATTTTTGTATTTTGCAGAATCATTTGTAACATTCCAGTCTGTCTTTAAAACATGGTGATTTCGATATTTAGAGAAGTTTCAAACTTGATGTAAGTTTTTGTAATTAACATCACTAGTGACACTGATATAATTAACCTCTGTCTCCAAGTGCATGACGTGTTTGTGTGTCACAGACCCAGACCGTGAACTGCAGTGCCGTAATCCAAATGTTGGCACTCTCTCCTTCTGTCTGTAGTTAGTGCAGGCTGCCTTTAAATTCATTTTTCCTGAGAGAGACAGGTAAGACTTGGGTATTTCCCCCAAACAGGTAAAAATGTTAAATGGGAAAAGTCCTTCTAGTCCTGAGAAAAAAAGGATCACCTTCTGGTCCTGATGTCCTCAAGAGTGCAAAGCCCTTCTTCCTCAATTGACTTAACTGCATGATTTCTGTTTTATCTACCTCTAAAGCAAATCTGCAGTGTTCCAAAGCCTGCCTTGGTATTGACTAAAGAGAGCTGCCCAGGAAAAAAGAAAGAAATCTTAAAGCTGGGCTTGGTTGGGAAAAATACATTCACTGTGTTTCTAGACTGCGTCATTCTTTTTGTCCTCCTCTGGACACTTAGAAGCCCCCACTAACACAGCAATGTATAATAAGGCTCTAAAAACACCATCTGAATGTTCAAAAGAAAGCTTCGGAAGAAATCTACCGGCTTTCCGAGAAACCTAAATATACAAAGAAAATGTAGAACTATTTCCTCAATCCCCATGTTCACAGTGGGACAGTGGTGATTTCACACAGTTTTTGCCGTGAGAGGGATTATGGTGAACAGAAGCAGGCGTTTGCCCTCTGGAGAGCCTACACAAACACCGCACAACACACACCCCTGAGGAATGAAGAAAGTACACATTACTAGCCAAATAGTTTTTAAAGTATATTTCTTAAGGTAACAGTTATTCTTCCCTTGTTACAAAACCATAGCCACTGCAAGAGTAGTAGGGCAAGTGTCAAGGTCTTTGATATTGGTCTTTTGGTTAACAATAAACTTAGCTTAAGTAGACTGTACAGTTGTATGAATTTGTAAAAGTATTATATGAACAACTAGTGAGGTTTCAAACTCTTGTAACTGTAGTTGAATAGTTCTTGTATTTTCTTGTGAACCGTGTTTAATGGTTTTACCTCAAATCAGAAAACAAAATGAAGTGCTTTGGTCAGTTAATAAAATGGTTTTACCCAGTATAGTGTGGTGGGTTTTTAAACCTTTTAAGGTTTCTTAAACCTTAACCTAAGAAACCAGATTCAATCATTTTACTTTAGCTTAATACTCAGCTCCTCTTTTTTTGGGGGGGGTGAGTGCGTGTACGCATGCATGAGTGTGTGTGTGTGTGTGTGTGTGTGTGTGTGTGTGTGTGTATTCCAATAAAGGAGCAAAACTGCAGAGGCCTCACACCGAAAACCAAATACCAGCTTGTCCTGTTGAATAGTGAATTGAGGGGCGCCTGGGTGGCTCAGTAGTTTTAGCATCTGCCTTTGGCTCAAGTCATGATCTCTGAGTTCTGTGTCTAGGCTCCCTGCTCAGGGAGGGTCTGCTTCTCCCTCTGCCTCTCCCTCCCCACTCATGTACTCTTTCAAATATATAAAATCTTTTTTAAAAAACCAGTGAAACGAGATTAGCTTGCCTGCCCTAATGAAAATGCAAAAACCAACATTGTTTTTTAAATTAGTGAATTTATTTTTTGTGACTTGTCAAATTCTGCCTCTTTAAATTCTGCCTCTAAACTCAGAGGCACCTCTGCCTCGAGGTTCAGAGCAAGGTTATTACGGGGTAGCTTTACTAAGGGCATAAAAAGTGCCAAGGCAGCTTTGGTTCTGTTTTCAGATATCATCTGATCAGGGAAGTATTCAGGAATTCTTCTATCCTAGCAAAATCAATTCACCTCTTGTCAAAAGATCAAATTTGCATATGCAGTTCATTGTGTAAACACGTCTTTCTCTGAATATTGATGTTTTGCCATTTTAACATTCAAGTTGGCAGAGTTTTCTTACAAGGGAAGTATTCTGACCTGAAAGCTTGCAGATTTCCAGTTTTTGTTTCCAAACCATTGCCTGTTTCTGTTGTTTTTAAATGAGCCTATCCCCCCAACTTGCTTTGATTCGACTGATATCTGAGTTGCCCATTTTGTGCCAAACACCCTGTTATACCGTGTGCTTTGGGGAAGGGGATGGGAGGGAGAAAAGTTGGGCCACCTTGCAGCCTGAAATCCCATTTAGACCAAAGTGAAGATCAGGCTACTCCTCCTTCCGAGTTAAATGGGTTTGTCTGATGCCAAGAGGAAATCGTCCAGAGCCTGGTTAAAGCTTCGATCTCTAACCCAATCCCCCGCCATTCCGAATGAAATCAACATTATATTGATTACATGTAAAAGGCTATTACTATAAGGCAGGACTCTGGTCTAAAAACTTCTCAAATCCAGCTAGCATATTCCAAAACCACATTATATAAAAGGCGCCATTCAAGATGGGGGGCATGGTGGTTACAGGCTCCTGGCCAGCAGGGGAGGTGTCAGGTGAACCCCACAGGTTTGTGCCCCTGCTTTTACCCAGCCCCCAGCCGAGGTGCTGTGTGTGTCCTCAGGACTCGGAACTCTAGGTCCTAGGCTGTTTTCTGTACCTCCAGATCTGTGGCTTCTCTGCATAAAGATACATCCACCTTAACCTCAGGGGGCCAAAGAGGCTAATCCAAAATCTAGAACAAGCTTCCAGACAGCCCATGCTGTTTCAGAGAGCGCTCTTTGACACCCTCCCCCACCCCCGCAACAAGGACCCTTTCAGATTGTACAAATAAGGTATAGCCTTCGATATAGAACACTTAGAGGCTTAGAGGCTGTTTGCTGTGCGTCTCATGTGAAAACACAGGTGACTCCCCACTGGTCAAATCCCCTAGCTTCTCTGACCAGACCTCCCCCATCCCACACCCACACTAACATCAGGATATTGTAGAACTTGAACACTGCCAAGTGCCGAATGGGTGAGGTGAACCGTGTGGGGCCCATGTCGCTGCCTTCTAAGATTACTTAACTGGTAAAACCTTTGCTGAAGGGAGGACAGTTTTAAGTCCAAATACTATTATCTCAATTTATCCAAAATGAAGATTAAAAACTGTGATCTTCAGTTGCGTGAGCTCTGACATGTCAGTTCCCAAACATTAGCATCATATAGGGAAAAGTTGCATAGCAGCAGTATTAAAGCCAGATGTGTATGTTTTCATAGAAAATGTAGATGTGTGATAGCCGAGCCAATGCACGTGGTAAATGAACAGACTCTAGCCACTACAACCATTTTATTTTTAATATATCTGAAAATTAAATATGTACTATTTCTCTAACAATGCAAATGAGATAGGATTGGCAACAGTAGTGCAAAGCAGCATACTATAAGTAGAAACTCACCCCCACCCCTGTGGAATTATTAGCATTTATTTAAAACATTTTAAACAGTCTCGCAACAAACAAAAATACATTTATTTGGTTCTTACTTTGAAAATTACCAGGTTATGTGGCTTTCTACCTGAGAAATTCAAACAAATGGAACAAAAAGACATGGACAGATTTTTAGTTTTCTTAAAGCACTATCAGCAGCAGCACATACAAGGGAAAGAAAACATGAAAACACCTATTTAAAAAGACAGTTTGAAGTTCAGGCCCTTACTTAATAGGTCATAGAAAAAAGATATGAGAAAATATTTTTGCACCACTTAACAGCACAACAAAGAGCAATGTTGATTAATAGAAAGTGATTACGATATTTTCTGTTCTATTCATTCCTTACTAAGCCATTCATTCCATTGAAAAGGACAGGATAAATTCTTCTCTTCCTCATTTAAGGCCTACATACACACACACAAAAAAGGTTTATTCAAATCTAAAATGCATTACCACAAGACATATAAAAATCCAAGGTTGTACTGAAAGTAAACATGAAACGAGTATTTTTACTTACATCTAGGTCCCAGGATGGTATTTAGCAAACAAAACCAGACAATTATATAGAAGTGACTTAGCACCAGTTCTATTATTACCCCCCCCCCAAAATTGCACATGCTGTCTTCTGCAATTTATTTTTCATGTCTGGTTACTGAGCAGCAAATTGTTTTCATGCCTAAAAATCTCTGCAAAGAAAATTATCTAATGAAGAAGAAATGAAGACTTGTTTTCAAAACAAGCAGAAGTGCTTTCCATTACAAACCCAGAATGTTCTTCGTTTCAGTGGCATGAAACATGAAAAAATAAGGAGGCAGGGTCTCAGTGGAGGGAAAAATACCTAGGTACCAAAAGTTGTCTGACAAAATGCGAGCTCTTAGCCCTTGAAAAGGCTACTCTAGATGACAGTACTTTAAACATGAGTAGTCCCTTGCTAGTCCTCAGGAGAAAAGGCACTCACCCCATGAGCGATTTTTCAGAGCTGACCAGCCAAACCAAGTTTTGATGGCAGAGTCACTAGTTTGAAAGAGGAACTGAATACACGGGAGCCAACAAATCATTCGTTGGTTATCATCTCATTAATAATAAGCACGACCTGCTATGTTACATTCATTTTTGAGCTTTTGCACGAACTAGCATATCTCTACTAACTGTGATTAGAAGAGATCAATGAAATGATGCATGGTTCTTACTTCAGGTAAATGAGAAGCCCTTGTAGCCCCTTCAGGGATCAGGTTGCTCAAGGGGCCAGTTATGAGCACAGAGCGTGCCTCCTCATTCAGGGCAACTGCACTGACTGGCGTCCTACCTTGGCCCTACCAGTTGGTACTTTCCTATGGAATATCCAGTTAAGACTGAAATGAATCACGTCCTCTGAAAATGTTGCCTTCCACTGCTGCTGTGAATGAAAATCTCCTTTTCCTGCTGCAGCCAGTCAGATCTCATTGATGTCTTCCACTGCCGAATCCGGTATAGCTTTGTTGGGGGAAAAAAAAGACGTCATCTACTGCCCCTGAGGCCCTAAATCCTATGTAAGGCAGAATGAATCAGCCGAGCTTTCAATAGAACATGCACTGCGTTAAGATGTAAGTCTTTACGAATCTATAAAATATCTCAATTTAAAAACATATTCAAGAAGTCCAAAACCAGTAGGTAAAAAGATAAATTGTTTCTGTTAAGAGTTTACAAATCCTGCACACATAGCATTTTCCCCAGCTAGAAAACTAGGGCTCCGCCCTTGACTCCTCCTAACTCCATGGCATTATTGAGGATTGAGGAGGCACTTGTTAGTGTTTTATAAAAGTCAGTTTGGGGATAGTCAGTGGCTTTTTACGAACTGATGTCACCCAACCCTGAGTGAAAGGATTACATAACCTGAAATGGAATATTGCCATGTCCTATCTTCCCAAGTGCCGTTATTGGTACCCTGGGATCTTTCCATATTTCCTTTTGCAAATCCCACTGGTTATTTTACTTCGATTCTCTTGCTTTTCTAGGATGGAATGATATGGGGTTCTTCAAAAAGAAAAAAAAAAAACAGCTCTGCGAATGGTCCGCCATCCGTTTAAGCCTCAAAGGACAATCCGAGCCCCTTTTTGTGGATTCTTCCAAGTTTCATTTCTCAAAGGTCAACTCTTTGAGTACTGTGATAAGGTGAATTGTCTTCTGGTGCATGGTCACAGAACCTTCCAGTGTCATGAAGAAGTCTGTGATATGTTCTAGCTGTCCTCTCTTCTTTTACCTGCAGTTATTTCTAGATCAAAGTCAGGAATGTTTGGTGGCTGCACATGGTGTTTCTGACCAAATCCAAGAACGTGTCAAAGGATGCTATTTCATTCACCACTGTCCCCTTTGAAGGTAAATGATGCTAAATGGTGATGTTCTAACAGCTAGGGAGCCACCAAGGACTATCAACCCCTCTCAGTGCTCATATGCTTCCTCACTGGCACTGAGTTCAGATTGCAGCTGAACTGTAGAAATGTCTGTCCTTGGATCAAGAAGTTTTGCAGGCACCTTGTTTTACCATCCTTTGGAACCTGGATGTTTCTTATTCCCAAAGTTTGCCAACACATCTGCAGTCATTTATGCTTTATACTTTGGCGAGAGGAACAGGGTTTTGCATTTGACTTTTCTCAAGCTTTTAAGTGCCACGCTTCTGCTCTGTAGTTGCTAACTACATAGCTATATATATATTTGGTTTTAAATTTTCTTCTTGCACATTGTTTACAGAGAATAAGGGTGCTTCTGATCTAAGAGACCTTCAAAACATTTGAAAATATAGAGAACTGGTGTAGCTGCTTCCTAAATAGCTTCTGTAGTCGATGTGCTCCTGACTGTTACGTTTAATATAATAATTATCAGAATTCGGCATGAAATCTTTAGAGTGCTCGTGTCTTTTAAACCTTCTTGTCTCCTGGTTATATTCTGACTTCCATGGAGTCTCTCTTCTTTGGGGCAAATCCCCCAAATAGAAAACATGAGCACTTTTCGATGATGCTATTGGCACATGAATGGGCCGGTAGTTGACTTGCTGGCCAAATGTGCTATCTCCAAACCTCCTCCTCTTCCTTGTGATGCGGTCTAACAGACTGTTAGAATCGGATTCGTGGTAGTGGCCTTCGTCAAACAAGTATTTGGGGTCTTGTGTTTCCCACCTTTTGCTGTTGCTCTTCTCACTTCTAATGGAATTGTTTTCACCCTCAAGCCATGAACATCTCAGTTCATACTTAGACCTCTTGCCTGGTTTCCTTAGCTTGGATTTAGAGGAGCTGTCCTCCCCATCACAGTTCCACTTTGAATACAAGGTCTGCGGACTTGACCTAATTTCTCGATCACTAGTGGTGGTCTCATCATCATCAAGAGATTGTTTTTCTGGGGAGCTCTCATATGTGGCCACAGACCTCTCTTTTTCTTCTTTGTTTATGCTAAGAGTTTCACTGAAGCATTCAGAATCACTACTGATTTCCTCTAAGAAATCTGTCAACTCCAAATCTAAGTCTGCTGACCTACTGGGTGAGGAAACTTGGCTTTGACTTGCGGATTTGGAATCTTTGACCTGGTAAGCATGCATCTTTTCCAACAGATGGCTCTTTCCACCAGCTGGGGACAGGTGATCACCAGCTTCACTGGCTGTGTCCTGGCAATGATTTAACTCCTCAGTACTTTCTTTGGCATAATCCACTTTTCCTTTCTTTTGTGGTTTATGCTCAGGATCCTGAGTATAGATCTCTGACTGGTAGTCATCTTCTTGAACCCGTTCTCTTGTTGCCAGGTTTTGCATTTGGCTCAGACTGGTGGAGTGATGCTTACGTTTCCTCAAATTAATTTGAAATCCATTTCCCTTAGCATGGACAGCCCTCTGCCACTGACATGGGCTTGCTACGTGACTCGGTTCTAGGCAGGTACGGGCATACTTGGGAGTTTGATAATAGTTTAATAGGTAATCAATAAATTCATCTGTTTCATAGATCTTCTGTTTCCTGCCATGGTCTACCTCAGATAATCTGGAAGAATCAGATTTATTAGAATCATGGTGGTCTTCTTTCTCAGAAGACTGACCTTGAATCATCTCATTCTGCAAAGAATTCTGGTCAGAGACAACACTGTGATTGTATCCATCAGTTAATAATTTTCCAGTTCTCTCTTTTCTAGTTGAATACCTTATTTTTTTTCTCCCGAGGTGGTGGGAAGATTTACGTAAGTGAGCCCTGGTTCTTTTCTTCATTTTTTGTTTTCGTTTATTGTCTGACTTGGCAACCTGATATTTTGGCATTTCCTCCTGATTTTGAAGATACTGAGTATTTAACTCTTCTTTCTTCAGAGTTTCCAATGTGTTCTCTGGAGCATGATTCACTTTGGGGCTTGCATCATCTACCCCCTGTGGGTTAAACTGTGTGGATCCCTTTAAAGAAAAAGGTTAAAAATCTCATATGAAAAACTTCACAGTCTAAAAATGTCCAAGAAAACTGAGCTTGCTGACACAGTTCTGAAGAGGTTTCTAACATGTAAGATTGATCCCAATTAGGAACAATATTGCACTGACGACTGAAGAGGTATGGAATTCAGCCTCTTGGGCTCACATGAGCTGCATTTACAAAGGTCTGTGCATCACCATTTATATACCTTCAAAGCACATGACCCTTTTTAAAAAATTTGTTCACAAACTGGTGAGTACTTATGGTTCCAGGTTGTAGGCTAGAGGCTGGGGATATTAAGAGGAATAAGAAATGCTCTACAGCCTTCCCAGAAAACCCTAGAACAGGAAAAGACTGATGGGTGAAATGTGTGTCTAAAGGGGAACCAACTGGCTTAAAAGATAACCTGCCTCTGTGCTTTTCATCCCAGCCATTTCCCACAGGTCGCAGGTTAGGATGTCCCTGAGCCGTTCCCCCTAGCTGCTTCAGGCAGAAGCAAGGTAGCAGGTAGAAAGTGTGGCCGCGGTAATGGCTCTGCTGTGCTGGCCACTCTGTGCAACTGCAGGGCAGGAGACAGGTGCTTCCCATGACCCTCCCTGCTGAGAGAGATTGCACCGTGCTCTCGCTGACCCGGGGTGCTCATCATAATAGAGCCTACCCAGGACCTGGGAGTCTAACTTGGGGACCATGTAATTGGTAGGAGGCCCTGTCAATGGGGCCAAGGATTAGGCACCACATACATTTAAATTTGACAAATTCCTAGAAAGGAGTCACCCCTGAAGGTCATTTCAGTAAGAAAAAATATTCAGCTAGCCTTATTATAAATGTAAATGGGAATTTTTTCTGATCCTGATTTTACTAAGGTTGCTTGTCCATGCTAATGAGAGACAGGTTGGGAATGCAAATATCTGGCAAAGTAACTCTCTCTGATCCTGATGTCATTCATCTGCATATTTAAAAACACTGAAGATGCATTTTTAAATGAACAATCTAGGAACTTATCTGGCCTTTACTCCAGGCTACCTGCCAAGTCTGGTTACCTTTAGGAGGTTAATAAAGCAGGGCCAAAATAAAACCCTGAAACTCCAAAACGGAAACTCTTCAAATGAAACAAATTGCTCTGTGAGGTCAGGAATTCCTTCACAAATAGTTTAGGACGAGACTATCAGGAGCTTGCTACACAAAGGTCTCTGTCCAAGGCTCTTCCTTCCCATCCAAACCTGCTGCAGATGAATGGACAAGTCGTGTTAATGGAAGACTATCAACCTAACCCTGTGCCGTCCATCCTGCCCCTCCTGGCATTTTGTCACATCCATTAGGAACCTAGAGAAGTAGCTTCACTAGCTCTACTGCTCTGGGCTGTAGTGTCCCAGAGTTCAGGAACACCAAACATGGGGAGACCAAGCCGCAGGGGTGAGAAACAACTGCGTTGGAGCCTCTGGGCACCCCTTTGGTCGATCCACAGTAGGGGTTACTGAGATCAGCCTATTGAAAACAAACCCCAAGGAATGCAAAAAAAAAGTCTTCCCTGGAGCCAATTTCAAACAGGCCACTGCTTCAGTGTAAAAGCATGCCTCAGAAAGATCAGTACCTACCAAAAGCGAAGACGGATTGAGAAAGAGCCTTACTGCAATTTTCCTCAAGAGTACCCGTAGCAACCGGAGAGCCTCCACCCCCCTCTGAGCCAGCAGGTACTTCCTCTCCTCCCACTCCTCTGAAGAGTAGGGCTCCCGGACACCGTGGGCTGTGGCTCTGGCCTTCTGTTTCCTGTGGCGGTGCCTGTCTCTTTCCTTCGGGCCCCGTCTCCTGACCCTGGCCTTCTTCCTCTTCTCCCGGGCTTTCCTCTCCTCCTCCTTTCTTTTTCTGGACAAGAATCAAGAGTCAGTCATTCAAAAGGCATCGACTAGGTACTGGCTCTCCTTCCAGCTCCTTCCCCACTGCTGGGGGAGGACTCCTCATTTAGGTTTCCAGGAATCACTTGGTGCTAATCCTAGGGGCCTACAGAGACAACTTAGGAAGTGACACACCATGGCTCTCAGTCAAAGGGAAGGACACAGAACTGAGCTGGTCACTCAGAGGCATGCACAAGAGAGAGTATGTGAAAAGAAGGCTACAGAATTCAAGGAAGGGGCTTCTATAAGTCCCCACTTTCTCAAACCACAAGCAGTCTAGCCTGTGAACCCAGCCATCACAGTGTGGTGGTGATTCCATTTCTCTTGAGACCAAAACCTTTCATGGAATTGGCTTCACGTATGCTTATAAATAAACGGGGAGTCCAGGCACTCCGAAAATCTTATGGGTGAGAACTGGTCCTTGGTACATATTACTTAACACCAGACACTATCCTAACAACTTGTTGACTTAGAAGAACATGGGCTTTGTTCACCACTGTTTTCTGAAAAATCTAACTGTTTTGCTTGGGCCCTTATGGAACCGTGGGGAAGGGGAAAGAAGGGACAGTGACCTGAGTGAGGATTTAGCCAAAGGCTGGATGATTATCTCAACTGCATGTTTAGTCTGGAAATTTGGGGGAATAGTTGCCTTGACTGGGCTTAAACTCTGGCCAAGAGTGTCACAGTCATGATCTCAAGCAGCTCCTGTCACCCTACCAGTCAAAAAAGTGAAAGACACACAGAAGGGGACTTTTTATCGCCTATTTTGAATGAGCATAATTTCCATGAGAGACCAAAAGAATAAACATGCGAAGGGAGGGGCCAGGGGGTCAAACTGGTTTTGAGAGCCCTGTAGTTCCAGCCCGCGTGTACCTTCTTGGCAAACCTTTGGCAATACACTAGCCCTTTTTGGCTCCAGTCCCTAAATTGGAAAATAAGGATAAGCTCAAAGAAATGAACATGGAGGTTCCTCAAGTTCACCATAAGAACTCAGGTCAACAGAAAATATAAGTTCAAGAAATCCATGCTTTCTTTGACCATTGACCATTTTTGTGGAAGAAAATCTCTCCCAGATCTAAAAAGAATTAGTTTTTGTTTTTTGCTTTTAATTTTAAATTAGTGGGCAAGGTAAACTTTGGTAAATTGGGGGTTAACTGGTCAACATTTTAATTTGGTGGGCTAGGATTTCATCGTAAAAGCCCTGATCTCTTTTTTTTAAAATCATTTTTTTAAAAAATCATTTCTTCCCAGATACCTTAACCTAGCTCATTACCTTACTTTTTTAAGTTTCTCGTTTTCAATCGTTGGGCCATTTTCGTTTTGTAACAGCACAGCTAAAAGACTGTAGGCTTCCACAGAGTTTTCCAATCTGTACCAATTCCTGCCACCCCCACCTCAGTGTTACCTATCAAGCATAGCCATTCACCTGAAGGGATAAACCCACACATCAAAGGCAAAAATCCCTCTTGGTCTCCTCACCTTGCAGCCTCTTCCTCATCTCTCTTTACTTTTTTCCTTTCTTCCTCCAGCTCTTGTAACTTTAGCCTTTCTTGATTTCTCCTCCTTATTGCCCCTTCGCTGAAATGTTTGGTTGTATCAAACATAACCTGCCCACAAACAATTCAGAGTTTCATTAGAAAAGTCTGCCACTGGACTGGGTGTGTTCCAGGCCAAAGAGATGAAACCAGTATGTACAGAACAATTCAAAACTTGAATTCAAAATGACCTGTCTGCATCCCCATCTCCATACTGTTCCACTGTTCCTTGGGCACCTGCCAGACAGCCCTGTGGGTTCTCAAACTATCTTTGACAGAACCGTTGAGGAGCTCTCGTATGGCCATAGAGGGTATCACAGGGTCATTATGGGCACAGGCACTGAGGGATGTGAGTATATTACCTGTGGTTTGTTATAAAGATCAACTGAGTTCAGGTACTTTAGTCACCAGAACCAAAAATGGTCAAAAAAAAGTGTAGGGGGTGGAGAAAGGATTGGGGAAGCAAAGATGCAAGAGAACTGACCTAATGGGCTATAAGATTGGAGTGTAGTGATTATTAAGCTACTTTGTAAATCCCCCAAATAGAGTAAAAATCCTATCAAGACGCTACAAAAAAAAAAAAAAAAGACGCTACAAACAAATTTGCTTGAAGAATAAAAGGAGGCAAAAATAGCCCTTTAAATGTACACAATAATGCCAAAACCAAACTCATGATTGTGGCCACCTTTGAGGGGAAGGAGGGGGATGATGTCTCATCTCATGGCTGATGTTTTCTTTTTTATGCCAGGCAGTGGGTACATGGGTGGTCACTATAGTATGTGTTTTATCTTTTATCTGGCTAAATAGCTCAGAATTTTAAAAGATATATTCTAACATAAGTAGTTTCATACATCGAGTGCACATACATACATACACACACACACACACACACTCATACTCATACGTAGGAAGCTACTTAAGCCCCAAGTCCTAATTCATGCTCAAGGCTGACTGAGAGAATAAGGAGTGTTTAGCTGCATCTTTTCCTCTGCTGGATTAAGAGGTCAAAAAGGAGATGGCCAAGTGTTCAGACATCGATGAGGTGGCATGACCAGATAGATAGGATGATCTTGAAAGGGAAGGATCCAACTTTGTTGAGATTACATTCCACCAATTTACCTGACAGACATCCTGAAAATGTAGGTGGTGGCCCCAAGAGTAAAGGGGAGAAAACTGCCCTCCTGTGGTTTCAAACTGCAATGGATCCTGCATATGAGATAGTTCCATAAGGGCCAAAAGAATTCTTCAGCACCCTCAAGAAGCTGGGGCAGGGCCCCGGATTATAACAACCATCCCTTCCAAACTACAGCTGGCAGCACACCTGCTAGCAGAAGAATGTCCACATCAGGATTATTTCTCTTCCTAGACATCCATTTATTAGTGACAACACAAATCTCTACATCAGCTATTGATCAGAGCCTAATGGGGTTTAAGGAAATATATTCTAGATTCTTCCTTCCAGCTTTTGCTCAGAACCACCAGAAATGTGGGAAATGAAAGAAATTCTGGCTCCTTCTTACCTTGATGTTACAGGCCAGAGCTTTCCCATCATCTCCTTTAAGCATCAACTTCATCCCTCGAAGGGACTCCATGGCTTTTATGAAGTCTGTTGACTCCTGGTACTGTATAAAGGCCTCGAATGTCTGCAAGCCAAAGCTGAAACCCCCAAAGTTCCCACCAGTCATCACTTCTCTGTAGGGGTCAAGCATAGGGATATCCACATTTTTGATCTTCCCAAAGCTTTCAAAGACCACCCGAAGGATATCTTCACATGGCTTCTCCCCGCTGGAACCTTTAGGTGCAAACCATTTGCAGGGCAAGCCTTCGAAATAGATAGAATCTGGGCTCTTATCCTGGTCCTGCTCTTCGGCCCCCTCACTTGCTGAGGCCTCCTTTTCCCTGGGGAAGCGCTCCCACTCCCCCTGGGCATCAGTAGCCACCACTTTTAAGTCTGTTTTCAAACCATTCAGCTTGATGATCTTCCCGTGTAACTTGGCCTTCAAAATCTGAACCAAACTGCGCGTTTCAGCCTCACCCTCAAATCGGATGAAGTCCTTCGTACTCTTGGAGAGCCGAACTGTGGTGAACTGGTCAGGGCAAATCAGGCTCTTCAGCTGGTCAAGAACTTCCCAGTTGGAAAAGGGCCTCATAGGTTCTGAGCTCTCTGGGAGCAAGACCTTGATCATCAATTTTGCTATGGGCTTGAGGTAGAGGTGCTGAGCTGCACAGAGCTCTGTCGCCTCAGAGTTATCGTGTACCACAGTGACCGTCATGATAGCCCTGGAAACCTTAGAGGGCGAAAGAGAACATTTTCATACAGAGGGAGCAAAATACGGATTTGGATTTTGCATGGTGCTAGCATTCCCGGCCTTCAGTTCAATTGATAGGGTTAAGTGTGCTTTGGGGAGAGAACTGACACAACAGCTTGCGTTTGTTTACTGTGTTTACAAGTTTCAAAGAGTTTCTGTACACAGTTGACTCTTCAACAGTACAGGAGTGAGGGGCACTAACCCCCTCCCACCACTGTATGGTTGAAAATCCACATATAACTTGTGACTCCCCCCAAATTTAACTACTAATAGCCTACTGTGGACTGGAAGCCTTACCAATTACAGAAACAATCGAGTAATACACATTGTGAATGGCATATGTGCAAGATGCTGTATTCTTACAACGAAGTAAGCTAGAGAAAAGAAAATACTATTAAGAAAATCCTAAGGAAGGAAAAAAAAACGGGAGTGCCTGGCTGGCTCTGTTGGTGCAATGTGTGACTCTTGATCTCAGGGTTATGAATTTGAACCTCACACTGGGGGTAGAGATTACTTTTTTTAAAAAAAGAAAGAAAATAAAATCATAAGGGAAATACATTTATAGCACTGTATCAAAAAAAATCCACGCTTAAGTGGACCTGTGCAGTTCAAACCTGTGCTGCTCAAGGGTTAACTGTACTATATGCTTCAGTTTCTTTCACTGAAAAATAGAAATTATAGGATTTCTGAGAGGATTCAATGACCGAGAGGATTCAATGAGTGAATACATGTGCAATCCTTAGAACAGTGCCTGGTACATAGGAAGTTCTCAATAAACACAAGCTATGATGATTATTTATTAGTGGCAGCAGTCTTACTTTATCTCATTGACTCATGAAGCAATCTGTGAGTAGGTGTTTTCGTGCCTGTTTTACCGATGGGGAAATTCAGACAGATTCAAGAAAATCAAATAACTTGCCCACACACTGAAACCCCAAGATTCCAAATCTCCAATCTATTGTGTGATTGATCTCAAATGTAGAATCCCATAAAAACTGGCTGGAGGTGCTACAGAAACAAGGCAAGGATAAAATACCTGCAGTGCATTCACAAACACACACCTGACTTAGCATCCGAGATGGTACATGGACATAGCCGCTCGTATGCCTCTAGTCTATTGACATGAACTAAACTGAACTCTAAGCTCAAGAACAGAGGCAACAACCTCCTCTAATGAGTGACCAAATAAGTTTGTCCTCCGCTATGGGACTGGAAACCCCCCGTCCCCCAAACTTGAGGGCTTGCTGGCATTTCATATTAATAAACTCTTTTAAGCTGCCCCAAAGTAAGATCGCTAATACTGGGAATTAAGGATTTCTGCTCCTATTTGCTGACTTCAAATAGCACTTCCCAATAAAGAAGTTCTTTCTAAAGCATATATATTCAATGTTCATTTAACCTGAGTTTCTCACTAATGTTAACTTCAGGGAGGTTTAGACACAAACATATGGCTAGATGATAGAAATTCTAACAAAATTTACTATTAGACCTTGATTAACTTTATAGGTACATAATTTTAAAAAATTTTTAATTTAAATTTGATTTAGTTAACATATAGTGCATTATCAGTTTCAGGGGTAGAATTTAGTGATTCATCAGTTGCATATCACACTCATTTACAAAATAACTGCCCACAAAGGACAATCCAAATCAATTTCCTTGGGTTTCCATAAACTTTTTTTTTTCAAAAAGGCCTCTGAAGGCTATAGCTCAGATATTAAGGTTCTAGAAATTGTTATAATAGCAACACTGAACTGAGAATGTTATGAAAACAAGCATGTTCTCTTTCCCCAAAAGCATTATCTAAATAGCAAAATGAAGAAAAAAAAATCCAGTTAGTTTGCTGCAGTTTGGAACCTAAATAAGAGTCAACACTAAGCTCCTTTAGGAGAAAAATTAATTTGATATTCAACTAAGATATAGTGAACTCCAAAATTTATCTATAGTCAACAGGTATTTGTTTATACAACCTAATTTAAAGCAACAGCTTTTAAAAAATATTCCATGGGGAAAATACAAGCAGTTAATCACTTCAAATTAATCAGGTTTGTCATGTTCTTCCCATTTATTCCAATGATACTGCCTTTGTGTTAAACATTTTAGAATGCTTCCTTTTGGATTGATTTCAAAGTCTGGGTTACATTCTTTTAAATGGCCTTGCTGGAGGTCAATTTTGAAATTCTTTTCCCATGGATTTGATATTTAGAAATTATCAAAAATTACTTAGAATCAAGAATGTTACATAAAAGGGTGACTATAAAAAACAAATTGATTTTCTTAATCGGCTTATAACCACCACCACCACCCCTTAAAAGGAGATTCCAATAAAGGCTCCAATTCTTTTTTCTTTTTTAATTAGTTTGTACATCATTGGAATGAGCTTTTAGAGCTTTGAAAGGTGACAACTTTGAAGGACAACATTCGTTTGAATGTGGTGGTATAACAATTGCAAAAATAATCCCAAGTTTTTACCCAGCACCATATCTATACCCTGCAATGTGAGTTATTGTTATGAGGAGATAGGGTCTATTTTTACCCAGTTTTTGAATGTAAGCTGGCTTTTTTTTCCCCTCCAGCCAGTAGAATGTGGCAAAAGTGACAGAGTGCCAGTTCTAGGCCTAAGTCTCAAGTGGCCCTGACTCTCCTGGAACGCTGCCATGCCATGAGGACACATCTGAGCTAGCCTGCTGGAGAATGACAGACCACATGAAAAAGAGCCTCCTCGTGGCAGATTAGCTATCCAAAACCAGCCAGCCCCTAACCAACCCACCAACTGACCACTGCCCTGTGAGCAAGCACAACCGTCTTGCCAACCTGTAGACTTGTGAGAAATAATAAATCGCCATTATTTAAGCCACTAAGTTGGGGGATGGTTTGTTACACAACAATAGCTAACTGATACAGATATCTAGCTCTTAATTAGTTTCAAGATACACAATTACATTTAACAGGTTTTACACAAATGAATAAAAATTATAAAAAACAATTCCTGGGAGAGTTTTGGGAAGAAAACAAAACAGGAGCCTTCATATCTTGCTAGAGATAATGTAAATCATTTTTTCTAGAATAATTTAGCAAAAACAAACCAAGAATCATAAAAAGGCTCATCTCCTTTGATCAAGTAACTTGCTCTAGAAATTTATCCTAGAGAAATTATTAAAAATAAGAAGAAAAAAGCATGGGGCACCTGGCTGGCTTGGTAGGTAGAGTGTGAGACTCTTGATCTCAGGGTTGTGTGTTCAAGCCCTGCATTGGGCATGGAGCCTACTTTAAAAAGAATGCTCAAAGCTGCTTATTACAGTGTCATTTGGATACAATTTTGTCCAAACTATGTATGCAGGGGAATAAAGTCCAGAAATTGAATTATTTTTTGTAAAGTAGTTTTAATAAAACATTCTACTAATTTAATCATACTTTCAATAGATGCATTTTTAGTCACTTGTTTAAAACTATAACCAATATAAATGGATCTTATTTAAAAATTTCTTCTTAAAATCAAATTCACAAATACTAAAAATCACCAACTTTTTGAGATTGAATATATGCCTCAGATCCCTCAGAAAGGTGATTTCTGCATAATAAAACAAATTTCTATATTTTAGCCAGATCTCTTCACTTTCCTCAAGTGTAAAAAAGGCTCTTATCAAATTTGGAGAGAAATGGTCAAAAACTATTTTATAGTGTTTGATGTACTGTATTTTTGACAGTTTTCAAAAAACTGGCTATCACTTCCATCTCACAGTGAACCAAAAAATAAGCAGTACATTCTATAGCAGAGGACATAACTCAGATGACTACAGCAAATAGCAAGATAGTCTCAGTGAGCAAAGAATACTGAGCAGAGCCTGAGGAATGGGATGGTGTAAAGGAGCAGCCACTCCTCAGCTCCAGCTGTAATGAGAGGAGAACATCCTGGGATGGCCAGATACTCCTATGATTCTATTCCAAAGAGACCAGAAATGTAGCTCCTCATGTGAAATCTGATTTTCAGATGTTGGCAATCAACGTTAAGAATTTAAAAGCACTGCAGAGTGCAAATAAACATATCCACAGGACCCACTGGCTTGCTAGTTCTGACCTCTCTGCTCTAAAGTATCTTTTCTCAGCTGTTTCTTCAGGGATAGGACTCTATACCTGGATTAGGAAGCATCTGAGTTACTTTCTGACTTTTCCAAGAGGACCTGATCTTAAAAATCAAAATCCCAGCCTCCATTAAAATCACCAACACAGAGGAACCTAGCTTGCTCAAGTCAGAGGGGCAAGTGACTCTCAATCTCAGGGTAGTAGGTTCAAGCCCCAGGTTGATTGTAGAGATTACTTAAATAAATAAAATAAAAAATAATAAAGTAAAATCTCCAATGCAAATTCCTGTTTCCCAAAAATAGTAACAAATTACACATTTGTTCTCATTTCTTCCCCTGTTGTTCACAGGCTTTAAAATTAAATGTTTATGAATATCTTAAAATACTCTTCCAGAATAGGGAGCTAATTTCCAATCTTATTTTTAAAAAATATTGAGGCACATGTCAGTTCATAATGAACTTATAGTCCACTAAGGCACTAGATTTTTTTGTACTTTTGCCAAATTCATGTCTCTCCTTGAAATTGCTAAGGGACTGAAGCTGCTACCTTTTTCATCTGTCTCAGGGACCATATGATTTCTCATCTCTGTTTCTCTTTGTGTTATTGTTCCACTCTACCGCATATCTCTTTGACTAACCAATGACTTCCTTCTTCATAAAATTTCAGTGGCTCTTTATAGTCTTCTTACTGTGCATCAATGAATACAGATAGGAGCTGACACTTGTTCCTTTTTGAAGCTTGCTTTCCCTTTGGCTTCCAGGCCACCACCCTCTTCTGGCTTTTCTCTCACTTTCCCAGTTGGTCCTCCTCAGTCTTCTTTGTGGGTCCCTGTTCATCTCTCTTTCCCTCAACTATTTGTTGTGACTTGGTTTTTACCTTTGGTTTTCCCTTAACTTTGGTTGTGCCTTTGGTTTTATGCAATATATCTTCAGCAAATAATCATGTTAAAATGACAGATGTAGATGAGCTCTTCTTGGGATAAGAGAACAAATAACCAATCCCCATGGAAAGTCAACATTTAGCAATCACCTGGAGGAGGAAGGCTCAGCAAGAAGTCAGAAGGAGCACCCAGACATGTAGGAGTGAATAAAAAGGGTTAGCAGTATTAACTATAACTAAGAGGTCAAGTAAGGTGAGAACAAAGATGCACTACTGAATTTTTGTTTAAGATTTTATTTTTAAGCAATCTCTACACCCAACGTGGGACTCAAACTGACAACTTTGAGATCAAGAGTCTCATGCTCTACCAACTGAGCTAGCCAGGTTTCCCCAAGAAGTGTCCACTGAATTTCACAGCATAGAGACTAGTGAAGGCAAAACCCAGATTATAATAAGGTGAAGAGTTAAAAAGAAGTAGAAAAGCAAAGCTAGTGTGTGGATTATGATTTTAAGGAGTGGAGCAGGGGTGCCTGGCTGGCTTGGTTAGTAGAGCATGGGACTCTTGATCCCGGGGTTGTGAGTTCAAGCTCCACAATGGGCATAGAGCTCACGAAAGCAAGCAAGCAAGCAAGCAAGCAGTATCTAGAGCATGTTTATAGGGCCAGTTGAGGATTTAAGGA